CGTCGTTATATAAACCAAGAAAAACCCATGCGTCCTATTCTTAATTCCACGTTCTAAGCTTCAACGCCTCAGCATCAGAAAAAAAAAAAAGAACAAAGAAAGTCTTATTGCGCAGAAGCATATATTTCCAGGAATGATTACACACCAATGCAAAGTAACGACTTTGTCCCCTCCCCTCCCAACCCCACTTGTTCTCATCGCCCTATCAATGTTTTAAAAATATATAAAAGTTCGACGACCGCCTGCTCCTTCCAGATTTCATCCCGCTGTAAATATTTGATTGATGGGTGTTTATTGGTGCCCGCACCACCAGACTAAACACGGATTGCCCCTTCGTGAGTCAATCGAGCCCGCTCTACGGTCCCGTGGTAAGTGCATCGCGCTACCTTACCGTCTCACAGAAACTCACAGGTACATCAGAAAACGGAAGAAACAAGGAGAGAGCCGAAGAGAGCGAGAAATTAAGACGGCATGAAATGCGGGCAAAAATGAAATAATGACATTTATTGTTTTAACGACACTGTTTGAATTACAAACGTCGTATGACCTAGAATTTAATGGAACGGTGAACGCAAGAGGATTTAGACTGAAGTGGTCGTGACCCATCTGAAAGCACACTGTGACAAGTTCGAAAAGGAAACTGAAGACAAAATTAGTAAATCTGAAGAAGATAAAACAAGAGGGCTGAAGTGTGTAGATCAAAAGAAATTGAGTAGAGGGTTAAGTTTAAACCGTGAAGAGTTTGGAAAAGGGAAAATGAAAATGAAAATACGCAAATAAATAACTGGGAATAAAGAAGAAAGGAATAACGAAATTAATTTAAATTTAAATTATTCGGTTATTCCGTCAAATCACAATGTATTTAAAATAAGATAATTAAAATAATTAAAATATCATTCTGTGTTCCATATCGAATAATCGATTTACAATTGGAACAGTTACAACATGTTTCGGTTTTATTAAACCATCATCAGGTGTAAAATTATATTAAATTTAAAACTCAATTACAATTTTTTACAATTTTTTTTCGTACTGTAGTTTTGTAAAAAATTGTAATTGAGTTTTAAATTTAATATAATTTTACACCTGATGATGGTTTAATAAAACCGAAACATGTTGTAAACTGTTCCAATTGTAAATCGATTATTCGATATGGAACACAGAATGATATTTTAATTATTTTAATTATCATATTTTTAAATACATTGTGATTTGACGGAATAACCAAATAATTTAATTTTAATTTAATAAATCACAATATGACGCAACTACACTATCTAACGAAATTAATGTTAATGTAAAAAAAGATTAAGGAAACAGAACAACCCCACCTCACCACAAAAAAGGAAGAAAATTAAAATTAAAAAGGACAGAAGAAATAGAATGATGAAAAGGTAAAAGAGAAATTCTAAAGGCACATAAGAACAGCAGGAAGAGTTTAAACACGAAAGGAAGAAGGGAAACAAAGAAAGTAAGAAAAAAAGAAAAAAAGAAAAAGAAATTTGCAACCAACTTGCGTGTCACTGTCACATGGATTGTTTGTTATGACTGCTCAAAGCTGGGTAGCAAAGCCGCTTGTTTGGTCTACGAGTGGCCGAACAAATAAGAGTTTCACCTAATTCCAAGGTCCACTAACAACAAAGAGCAATTAGAGTGTCGGGTGAAATTCTGCAAGCCGTTTTAGAGTACTGACCTGCCTGCAGGCTTACGAAGGCGCTCAAACGGTGAACAGTCGTGGAGTTTATTATCCTACGCTCCTATTCCAATCGCAGACACGAATATTACCACCAATATACAACACCAGAAGGGACGAAACGAGGATAAGATCAGTTCACACACGGAGCGACCAAGCGACATCGCATTAAGATCGAACCTTCTACTCCTGGGGTCGGCAACCTGCGGCCCACGCAACATTATTATGTGGGAATCAGCCAATGCGAGAAGGGTACGAATGTCCTGCTGAGGATCACTGGTATAAACACAAGGCAGACAGTCCTACAAAACATATTTCAATCAAACAAACCTTAAAAAATTTAATAAAACAATATAAAAATCACTTTAGACTTGATGTTAGAGACAGCACGTTCCTTTGGAATATTGTCACACATGACAAATACACAGCACAGTGCAACAACCCGTAAAATTTTTGAGACAATTTCTTCTTTGTGTGGGAAATAAACCTTATGAACCATTTAAATTCTTACTTACACACTAATTAATTTGATTTTTTTAATTATTGGACTCTTTACCACTATGGTTTGATGTCTTTGGTCCCTCGAAAGCTACTACGTTGTTTCAAAACCCTAATCCCTGCAAAAACTAATCATAAAATTCCTCTTTATGTAAAAGTTCCTTTTCCGCAATGTACCCTCTTATTTTTCAATATCGATTTTACATATCTGTTAACTTCTCACGTGTGTGTTCATAGTTTCAAGTAGAGTTCTGCATTGTTCCAATTAAGTTCGTATCCGAGTCGCCAATTCCCATGGCAACGATGGTTTTACATGCCACGAAATATTTTATACAAATCGAAGTTTGCTTTTGAAACTAAATCGATTATAAAATGAGCAGAGTTAAATTACGTAAATGAATTTCAGAAAAGAATTAGATTACCTTTAAGGTTCTTACATCTTCTTCTGTAAATAATGAAAAGAGTTATGTTCGATCTGATATTTGTTTTAATAGTCTTTCTATAATTCTCGGGGTAGTTACCATCAGCCAAGACTCTGTATATTTGTGCAGGTGATTTCACACCGAATGAAAGAGACTGTTCATAAATTAACCGTCGTGAGCGATGATTACCTTGGCAACCACCAATCCGAGGTCAGTGATCGGAGCAGTACGCACTCCGGTCTACAAAACAAGTTTAATTATTAATTTGTTTAATATATTCACAAAACTTTCGTTTTATTCCCGAGAAAACACATGTAAAATCATGACTAGTTTCGCAAAAACACAAATCTCGCATTTCCTTATTTTTAACGAAGTTAGGCTCACAGAAAATCCTTTTTATCATTTATTTGTGGTTATTTTGGGGGAAAAAATACAACGAAAATCCGTTTTCAAGTGTATACGATCTACACTCGACGTTATAGAAACACAATTTTGCTTATTTTCCATGACATTATTACATTCTTGTCAGAATTCTTAGAACTGGTGTCAACCCAGTGCAAAGGCATTGTCTACGCAGAACAACGCAACACAGAGGAACACTCAAATCCAAATTTACGATTCCAGTGGTCTGATTGTCGCATATGGCAGTAACAATATAAATAAATGTTCAGGATTTGTTTCCTGCTTGGTGTTGTACTACGATCAATAATAACAATATTCCTCTTCGTAGGTTCTTCTTCCTGAACGAACGAGATCAGAGCCCACTGTCCTTGACAGTCACACCCTGCACATCCAGTGTGCTGTGGAGCGTCCGCTATAGACACCAGAATGACACGGGAAAACGTGAGTACCAGCCACTTGGTACCCATCCACCCCCACATAAAATGGAACTACCCTTCATTTCCTCAAACGAACATGAGTTCCAGCAATTTTCTCGGGTGAACACGACCAGACGTAAATGTTAGTAGCATGAACGTCAGTATCTGACCATTTCCACGAACGAAATAAAGAACGGAAAATTCTCTAAGACTATTTACGCTTCTCTGAAGAAATTTGGCTGTCATGTCGTGAGATGAACAGCGAACGTTACCTCATTCAGTGCAGAAATAAAGGAGCAGACAACAAGATTTGAATTGCGTGCATTATCTTGGCGTGGAATCTGCACGTTACCGAAATACCACCATTAAGACAATCCCTAAAGAGCAAAGTGTCGTAACTCAAGTGATGGTATTTTGAAAAAAGGTGAAATGTCATTCTAAAAGAAAAGAGAATTTCCCCCCCCCCCACTTGTCTCGACAGCATGCATGAAGGCTCTATTCATAGATGCTGCATCTTAGTAAGAAAACATATGTTCGAAAACAAAGCAGCTAGCACACTCGCACGAGAGGCCTGGGTTTGAATTCTTTACAGGTCTACAAGACTAATTCCAAAATTGATCGACGTGCTTACTGCCTCCATCATCATCGTCATCACCCTGATGATGGAGGCAGTAAGCGCTTCTGAAACATCGATCAATTTAGAAATTAGTTTCTTAGACCACATTACAAGTCCCGGCATCCAAGAACACACACGTCTTCCTAGTTGTCACCGTGAGAAGCTGAAATCTCACCAATCAATCTACTGATCACGAAGGTATTCTATGTGTAATTATCTTAATTTATGTATTATCTGGTTTATATCCATCTTGGGAACAAATATGATTCGTCCCCTTTATCTTAAATCTCCCCATAATGACAGGTGTCATTTTTATCAGCAGAATTAGGTTACTGGATTCTTTTCGGAGAATTGTGATCTATTACGTTTTTCTCGTGCACATTTTAAACGGAACTTTCCAAGTCTCTTTTCAAAGACGTAAATCTCCGCAACCTTCAATGCTATTAATCTCCAGGATAATCTCATAAGTAGATAGCAACTAACCTGCACATGAAAACCGGTTCCTGAAGTAATGTAAAGTAATTATTTAATTTTTGTTTTGTTTTAGAAGACCCCGAAGGTGAAATAGGGAATCAATACTTAATACAAGAAAAACCACAAATCACTACGCAGTGCTTTCAGAAGTCGTTTCGCGAAACATGACATACAATGTCCAGCGTTTCCCAACGTGAGTTCGCGATACAAATCTCGATCGCTCGGGTCCTCAATGTGGTCTCGATAAGCATTAACAAGATTATTTGTTGCGACCTGGTTTGCCGACCGATACGTGGTCATCCTTATCGGTTTTCGGTGTTTTCCACCAGTACCTGCAGGCAAAAATGTCATCAACTACCATCCTCACAAAAACGTCGACATTTTATATTAACTCCCCCCAAGCGCCTACATGGCGTATAGTGGGACAAACTTTACTTTACTTACTTGAAATCAATCCACATTGTCACTTATTGTTCACCTGTGATCTGTTTTAACGTCAACCTCCCTTTCGAACTTCGATTTTCTAAGTTGCATGTTAGTATGAGAATTTCCAACCAATTGTTTTGCATCGTATGTACACATGCTACAGGAATTACGTCTTAGACTAATTAGCCACATAATATTCTGTTCAAAGTTCAAATTATTACGCAATTTTCTCCTTCCTGCCATGTTATTTTTCGCTGTTCCCAATATTCTCCTCAGGAAACCTTTTCTCAAACATTCTGCAAGTACGTTCTTTCCTCATTGAGACAAAGTTTTTACACTCGTATAAAACAACGGATAAAATATTTCAGCACAGGTGACTCTCGTAAAACGCGCTTTTGCTATCTGCGTTTTCACATATCCGCGGTTTCATTTCAGTACAATGAAAGGCATCAGTATCCTATCTGCGACCACGACATAAGTTGCCGCGCAGACCCACTGACATGCGCGCCCACGATTTTGACTCCGGAACTACAAATTATGTCCTCTCATGGCGTAACACTCTGAAAATACTCAGGCATTTTTACGTTTTCCGTTTTAGATAAGCGCTTAAAACTGTAGGAAATGAACCCACGCGTAGAACGAGAGTCACCTATAAATTTCTTAGGCTTCTGGGTAGCCCACGGTAAGATAAAACTTCAATGTTTCGCAGTGGACGACATGCGAATTCAGACGGGGGACAACAGCTCAGAACCGCCACTGGAGGAGTTCAGAAGCAATGAAATGAGAACCTTCAGTACAGAGAGTGCTCGTCCGGGTCTATACGTACTGCAGGTGTCACCACTGGAGCGAGAAACCTACGTCAAGCTGTACGCCAGCCTGGAGCCTGGGGGTCCACACCCCCTGCGCCTCTCCCAGGGGCCCCGTTTGCGTCTACAAAAGAGACAGCGCCGGAAGAGGCTAACAGTGCGTTGGGAGCCCAGGTAACATTGGTTCGATACCATGAACAGCATGGAGAAACATATGCTATATTCCGGGTTTAATGAATTCACTCAAACTGGGAATCATTTCCGAGGACTTAAACGCGAAAAATTTAATCAGTGTGGGGTCTAGTCCACAAACACCACCCCCTTTAAATTACGTGTTTTATAATTAAGAGTAAAATTGTTATCGGTGATGAAAAGCGCACGCTTTAGTCAACCGATCTCCAAATGCATGCAAATAATTGAGCAGATAGGCACTAGTCCATTCAGAAAGATGCCGGCACAGTCAGACAAAAAGTCAAACAGCTAGACCAAGACCCGAAATGAAATAGCCAGAGTTTTAATATCTAATTTAGTCAAACAGCCATATAGCCAGATAGAACCAGAATCATTAAGACAGTCACTAAATTAAATGACCAGACTTTGAACTGCACTCAACAGCCTGTCATTGGACCACATAATTACGGAATCGATTAACCAAGTGTTCAATCGATGTCTAAAAATGACAAAAAAACAGTCGGACTTTTAAGTATCAGCCAGTGGTCCAGACAAATAATCAGTCGGACACTAAACCAAATTGCTTTACTTCGAACCAATCATCCAGACACTGACAAATAAGTAGACAAGTAAGTGTAGCTAGACCGAGAGCTAATGAACCAGACAAAGCAGCCTCAGGGCAACAGTCTGACGGAAGGCGTGTGCTACGTCTCTGCGCGATTGTCATCCTATGATGACCCTGACCTCGTCACATGTGAGTAATGTCATTTCCTGGTTTCTCGTCTGAATTCTAGACATGTTAATTACCACCTGAAGATTGTATCAGATTGGATGTTTAACCATTAAAAGGCATTGGTAACTGAATTTACCAACTGTTATTACGCTATTACATCAAAACTTGGCATTTTGCCGACAGTTTGTTCATGAGATCGTACGATTCTCAGAATAACAATTATTGATTTCGTAAAGAGGATTAAATTAACTGGCCTTTGTAATGCAGATATATTGTTTTCTTTAAGGTATGAAATAAAGTTTTAAATAATTTGTAGATTAACTTCGTGCCTCAAAGATATAATTCGTCGGCAGGTTCCTCGATCAAATCTTGACTGAACTCTAATATGGTCTTCGTCCATTCTTTTCAGAGACACTTCTGTAAAATATGCCACAACCGATTCCTCGGTGTGTTGGTTAAGTTGGTTATTTTACTACGAGACATCATCATAATAATTTTAATCTTAAATGTTGCATCAATTAGATCATAATTATCAGCCCTGAAGGTGGAGGCATTATGTTCCTGCGAAACGTTAGTAAAAATCAACGTCTTCATCGTGTTTCTCTTCTTCAACACACCATCACTTCCCCCCTCTCAACACCTTTGGTGTAATCGGTTCCATCAACTTCCTCACCAATACATTCTTTATCTTCTTCCTGTCCACCATAATCGTCAATAACTCTGTTGCCAACATCGTCATTTTCTCATCATTGAAGTCCTTCCCTTCTTGCCTCCTTAAGCTACATAACGACGCTGGCTCACAGATGTGTTACCATAGCAACGAAACCTTTAAGTCGTTCAGACGTACTTGAAAAAATCCGCCTATTACAATAGACTATTCTTCCTGTGACTTACACATGGATGAGTGATCAGCCCATCGCAAGGACAGCACAACACAGAAATACGCGGACAGACATCCATGCCTTGAGTGGGATTCAAACCCACGGTCCCAGTGTCTGGACGCCCAAGGCCCACGCCTCAGGCCGCGCAGCCACTGTGACCGGCAAATATACCTTACATGAGTAATTATATGTTAAAGGGTTAGTTAAGACAACAAAGAAGAAATTGTGGAAGATAAATTATTTGGCAACACTTACAATGTTGGCAATGGTACAGATTTAGGTGATGTAATCCTCAGAACATTCTGATACACTTCAACATCTAACCGGTACCCTAAAATTACGACACGCTGATAAAGACACTGAAATGCCGTCTGCTCATTACGTCCCCACAAACATATGGTGATTAACCTTTTAATGACTACACTTCTTACGCGGTTCTTCGTGCAAGACATTTATATCCAGATTACCACTACGAAATATGCTAATTCGACGACTGATACAGCATTGTCAAAAAACTGCTGATACATAATTAAATACATTATTAAATCTTTACTGGATAAGAACACACCCCAAACTAATGTCGCAGACTGTAATATTGTGAGAATTTTATTTTGTGTGCAGTTTATTCAAACGTTTTATTTACCGAGTCAATGATCATTAATAATAAGCGTGTATGTTTGCACTGCTTTGTTAATCTTGTTAATTAAGTAAAAAAATGTCTTTTTGTTTAATTCCGTCTGAGTCCGTCTTACAGAATACTGCAACATTTCTTCGTTTGGCATACTGCCATTCCCAAAACGGCCAGTCCGTCTCGTCGGCGAGACATGAAGACTTGTTACTGATTGATTCCAAATTGATTGATGTCATGTATTGACTAAGCGCACGTGACCTGCATGGTAACGCATCCATTGCTGACTCTTTGAGCTAGGTTAAGAACAGAGAAAGACATAAAAAGGCGTACGAAGTTCCCTCAATAACAATTCCCACGGAAAACTTTAACACAAAGTATGAAACAACACGGTTGAATAAGAAGAATGTTACCTCATACATTTGCTATTCCCCAGGCGAGAACAGATATAAATAGTAAGAATTCATTTGTTTTTCGAATGTCGTATTTATAGTTTCCAAGCGATGGCATTACAGAAACGCTGTTCCGACACGATACAACACGACGAATACTTCGATATTTAACGATGTTGTATCGGTTCCAGAGATTATATAGCGTAAAATATCACAGCGATCATGCTGTTTCAACCTTTCAGAAAAAAATGTATTTTCTGTTCCAGTCCCGCTCATGACATGTTTCATGTTTACATTTCTCTGTGAAGGTAAAGAACTCCCTTGCAATACGCTGATCCCCCATTCAAGGAACCTTACAGAATGTCAACCGTTTTGAATTAAATGAGAAAGGACAAGTTGACTGGCGACTGATTAATTCTTGGGTTATCTGACGAAGCCCCTTCAACTGAATATGCTTTATATTGTGAAATTGTAACATAACGTATGATTATTGCGCCACATACAATAGTGTAAGGAAGTGGTAATTGCCTATTTAAACTACGAAATATGCTAATTCGACGACTGATACAGCATCGTCAAAAAACTGCTGATACATAATTAAATACATTATTAAATCTTTACTGGATAAGAACACACCCCAAACTAATGTCGCAGACTGTAATATTGTGAGAATTTTATTTTGTGTGCAGTTTATTCAAACGTTTTATTTACCGAGTCAATGATCATTAATAATAAGCGTGTATGTTTGCACTGCTTTGTTAATCTTGTTAATTAAGTAAAAAAATGTCTTTTTGTTTAATTCCGTCTGAGTCCGTCTTACAGAATACTGCAACATTTCTTCGTTTGGCATACTGCCATTCCCAAAACGGCCAGTCCGTCTCGTCGGCGAGACATGAAGACTTGTTACTGATTGATTCCAAATTGATTGATGTCATGTATTGACTAAGCGCACGTGACCTGCATGGTAACGCATCCATTGCTGACTCTTTGAGCTAGGTTAAGAACAGAGAAAGACATAAAAAGGCGTACGAAGTTCCCTCAATAACAATTCCCACGGAAAACTTTAACACAAAGTATGAAACAACACGGTTGAATAAGAAGAATGTTACCTCATACATTTGCTATTCCCCAGGCGAGAACAGATATAAATAGTAAGAATTCATTTGTTTTTCGAATGTCGTATTTATAGTTTCCAAGCGATGGCATTACAGAAACGCTGTTCCGACACGATACAACACGACGAATACTTCGATATTTAACGATGTTGTATCGGTTCCAGAGATTATATAGCGTAAAATATCACAGCGATCATGCTGTTTCAACCTTTCAGAAAAAAATGTATTTTCTGTTCCAGTCCCGCTCATGACATGTTTCATGTTTACATTTCTCTGTGAAGGTAAAGAACTCCCTTGCAATACGCTGATCCCCCATTCAAGGAACCTTACAGAATGTCAACCGTTTTGAATTAAATGAGAAAGGACAAGTTGACTGGCGACAGATTAATTCTTGAGTTATCTGACAAATCCTCTTCAACTGAATATGCTTTATATCGTGAAATTGTAACATAACGTATGATTAATGCGCCACATACAATAGTGTAATGAAGTGGTAATTGCCTAGCGATATCACATTATTTGTCAATAATTACAGAGGAAAACCATTAAGAATTACAGAATACTAATATTGGCTTTCTGCATTTCAACGTCGTGTACACTTGCAAATAGATACCAAAGTTTCGAAGGAACATACTGCCTCCATCTTCAAGGCTAATATCAGCTTTTCCCACGTCTGAGAATTGGTCACGTTAGTATTACCGACTGTAGGAAATTAAGAAGCACTAGTTTTCACTAACCTCTGACAGCATACCGCCACACCAAATTTCACGAAAATCCGGCTGGTTATTCTGGAGATGTTACATGGCAGAACGTGTATTCGTATAATCACCGGTGGAAATGCGTTGGTACTCGGTTAAAGCACGCGAAAGAACACATAAAAAATTTCAGCTCAGACAGAAAGAAATTAACTTACATCTGAACTCGGTGCTTCCAGAAGTTACCATAACAACAAACTGCTCAGTATAAATCGAGGGAAAAGCTACCGTGGCCCACTTTTAAGTTGAAGGCACTAAGGAATACACAACAAACCTCAGTCAAGATAAAGATGATTTTCTCTGAGCCGTCGCTAATATTCTACCAGACTACACAGCGCAATAACCCACCGTGAATACCTCAAATCCCATTCAATCAAGATTTGAATCTCTCACGGCGGTAAAGATGTCGGTTATGATCTTCTTGGTTTCGACGCCGTGTGGTCTAGAATATAATTACCAACGTTTCGGATAAACATTTTGCCTCCATCTTCAGGGTGAATGTATGTTGTAAGTCAAGATGCTAACCCGACCGAGATACGAACGACGAACTTCCCAACAATACAGCTATTTAAATTCGCAACAAATTAATGAAATTCACAATGACGTAATTATATAAAATCACGAAGAACACGTCTGGAAAATGTGTAGGTCTTCAATCCTGTGTATCACAAGTAATGATTACCGCCTGTATCACAACTGTACCGCATGCAAAAGCGTCAAATGTATTGCATACTCTGCAGGCGCTCGTAGTCTCGATAAGTTGAGGAAAAGAGTGCAATAAGCAGCTCATAATATTAACATTCCGTAGTTTTGATGCACATTAAAGTTTAAAGGTGTATAATGTGGTTATAACTTATATGTAAAGATTTTCACCGTCTTTCTTTGTGTTTTGTGCTTACATGCCTCGTCAGGTAAAAAGATAATCTGCAAAGCAGACACAGTATTATAAATAAATTATTACATAAATAAACTTATCTACCAGTTAGCTAAACATTTATCATAACCAAACAATACAGAGTGTTTCAAAAAGATATATACACAGCAGTAACTTTGATGGCCGCTTGTCAGTTAGTTGCTAATCGGTGTTAACTGTGCCATGAAGATAACGGTGGTCATTTCAAACACCAACACTGGATTCGCTAATTCAGTAAGTGTCAATGCTGACGTATGAAATTTTTCAGTTCATTAAAATGTCTTTATCTCATTCACTGAATGTGTGCATATATATTAATGGGACATGATATATTTCAGAAAAGTTCTACAGGCTTGACTGGTAGAAAATGTTCCTACGAAAGAGATACAAATTTCTGGAAATTATTGTAAGACGGTCAAAACCGCCAATGGTTAAGGTGTTACATATGTTTATGGACGTGTGTGTTGCAGCCCTGTGGATCCACACGTGATGCACTACTGTCTGGTTGTTAACACAAGACGCTACTACTCGACGCTCTGTGAGGCTCAGGGCGAGCGTAATGGGGTATCTCCCCCCGAAGCATCTAACGCCGCGGGATTTAACTTTCCACGTGAACAGGCCGAGGCGCATAAGAATGAGTTGGCTAGCAAAGCGGCTCGACTCAACGCCAGTCGCTTGGGCCGAGGTAGCGGTGGTGCGGGTGGCCAGCTACACGAGGATATCGTGGTCAGACATTTTTAATATCACTTTCTTTGATTTACTCCTTCTATTATTCGCATTATATCTTCAATTTTTATGACCATTTGCTATAATGTCAATACCTTAATTCCTAAATTACTGAAAAGTAGGTATATTTCTATAACCTGTAGGTTTAAAATCTGAACCTTTCTCGGACGATCACTTTGAAATAAAATTTCCAACATTTCGGAGACTATCTCGGCCTCCATCATCAAGGACTAATAATATAATTTTTATACTGACATGGCTGATCGTCAGAGAAGTCTTAATTTTATGCCAAGTATCTGTGTAAATAACGTTGTAACGCACAAATATATTTTGCTTTGTAAGGTTGGCTGCGTGGGGCGCAAAACCAGCTACACTGTGTCCAACCTGGAACATGGAAAGGTATACCACTTCAACTTGTTCGCGGTGAACAGGCGTACCAACCTCAGCTTTCCGTACGGTCGCACCACGTTGAAGTATGAGCCTCGAAGTAAACCAGCAGGACTGCGAGACGGAAAAGTGTCCACTGTGAACCTCAGAAAGATGGATGGGACAGCAACGTTCAAGTTCAAGGTAACAAAATTAAATTCAATAAAATGAAGAAGCTCTGTGTTGGTGTACTCCAGCCAAATTCTTTACTGTGCCCACGTCTCCACACAGGCAAGCATACTTATATCAACATGGCAAATATTTGGGAACAATGGTAGCAAATTATGCCTAGGCGTAGACGGGAGTATAATATTAAAAAGCATACGCCTATTAAGGTGGGAGTTAGAAACTGAATTAATCTAGATCAAGATAAGGACCAGTGGCGGTCTCTTGTGAACACTATAATGAATCTTCCTCTTCCATAAGAGGCAGGGAAATTCTTAACTAACTATGCGTACTAATAGCTCCTCAAGAATTTATCTGCTCCATGCACTTAACTGACCTAAGTGACGGCATCTTGGATAATCCACTGGCTTCATTCGGCTGGTCGGTCTATACATTGTCTTGACCTATGTCTGCAGGTAGGGAAGAACGCAGAGAACGAGATGCATCTCTATGTGATGTCGTGTGGGGGCGCTGTTGATGCAGAACTCACACTAAAGGGAGAAGTGGTCATACCTCGGAAAATAATATATGGATACGAGAGATTCCGAGTGATGAACCCGGCTCGCGGCCAGCGATACGTGTTGCGAGTGATGGCTTCCAACTCGGAGGAACTACGTCGAATCAAGGCCGTCGAGGTAAGTTAATTAATTTTTACCTTGCCACCGAGTCCCGAACGGCCTTCAATCCGCTGAGTAACAGGGCCCTTTGTCCCGCGGATAAAATATTCGTAGCTTAAAACTGACTACTCCACCTGGTTCCTGGAGTATTAATATATATTAATGGGACATGATATATTTCAGAAAAGTTCTACAGGCTTGACTGGTAGAAAATGTTCCTACGAAAGAGATACAAATTTCTGGAAATTATTGTAAGACGGTCAAAACCGCCAATGGTTAAGGTGTTACATATGTTTATGGACGTGTGTGTTGCAGCCCTGTGGATCCACACGTGATGCACTACTGTCTGGTTGTTAACACAAGACGCTACTACTCGACGCTCTGTGAGGCTCAGGGCGAGCGTAATGGGGTATCTCCCCCCGAAGCATCTAACGCCGCGGGATTTAACTTTCCACGTGAACAGGCCGAGGCGCATAAGAATGAGTTGGCTAGCAAAGCGGCTCGACTCAACGCCAGTCGCTTGGGCCGAGGTAGCGGTGGTGCGGGTGGCCAGCTACACGAGGATATCGTGGTCAGACATTTTTAATATCACTTTCTTTGATTTACTCCTTCTATTATTCGCATTATATCTTCAATTTTTATGACCATTTGCTATAATGTCAATACCTTAATTCCTAAATTACTGAAAAGTAGGTATATTTCTATAACCTGTAGGTTTAAAATCTGAACCTTTCTCGGACGATCACTTTGAAATAAAATTTCCAACATTTCGGAGACTATCTCGGCCTCCATCATCAAGGACTAATAATATAATTTTTATACTGACATGGCTGATCGTCAGAGAAGTCTTAATTTTATGCCAAGTATCTGTGTAAATAACGTTGTAACGCACAAATATATTTTGCTTTGTAAGGTTGGCTGCGTGGGGCGCAAAACCAGCTACACTGTGTCCAACCTGGAACATGGAAAGGTATACCACTTCAACTTGTTCGCGGTGAACAGGCGTACCAACCTCAGCTTTCCGTACGGTCGCACCACGCTCAAGTACGAGCCTCGAAGCAAACCAGCCGGACTGCGAGACGGAAAAGTGTCCACTGTGAACCTCAGAAAGATGGATGGGACAGCAACGTTCAAGTTCAAGGTAACAAAATTAAATTCAATAAAATGAAGAAGCTCTGTGTTGGTGTACTCCAGCCAAATTCTTTACTGTGCCCACGTCTCCACACAGGCAAGCATACTTATATCAACATGGCAAATATTTGGGAACAATGGTAGCAAATTATGCCTAGGCGTAGACGGGAGTATAATATTAAAAAGCATACGCCTATTAAGGTGGGAGTTAGAAACTGAATTAATCTAGATCAAGATAAGGACCAGTGGCGGTCTCTTGTGAACACTATAATGAATCTTCCTCTTCCATAAGAGGCAGGGAAATTCTTAACTAACTATGCGTACTAATAGCTCCTCAAGAATTTATCTGCTCCATGCACTTAACTGACCTAAGTGACGGCATCTTGGATAATCCACTGGCTTCATTCGGCTGGTCGGTCTATACATTGTCTTGACCTATGTCTGCAGGTAGGGAAGAACGCAGAGAACGAGATGCATCTCTATGTGATGTCGTGTGGGGGCGCTGTTGATGCAGAACTCACACTAAAGGGAGAAGTGGTCATACCTCGGAAAATAATATATGGATACGAGAGATTCCGAGTGATGAACCCGGCTCGCGGCCAGCGATACGTGTTGCGAGTGATGGCTTCCAACTCGGAGGAACTACGTCGAATCAAGGCCGTCGAGGTAAGTTAATTAATTTTTACCTTGCCACCGAGTCCCGAACGGCCTTCAATCCGCTGAGTAACAGGGCCCTTTGTCCCGCGGATAAAATATTCGTAGCTTAAAACTGACTACTCCACCTGGTTCCTGGAGTATTAATAAGTAAAGCTTGACTGTGCACCCCCCCCCTTCCCCTCGTGAGCCTTTATGGCGTAGAATTGGACAGAGGATAACACAGCGGCTGAAAGAATGGTTTGCATTGCAGGTCCTTGCTACTACGCGCCCGGCAGTGAAGTTCCCCCTTCCGGAACTTCCATCAGAGCCTCAGGTGCACGAATATGACAGCATGAGGAAATGTGACTCAGTGACGGTTGGCTGGGTACGGTCTCCCGACCCCCAGGTTGCTCGCTACTGTGTCTTTGCACGGGAGGACAAACGGAAGGAGCTTGAAACAAGACGGCCCAACCAGTGTGCACTTGATTCCAAGCTCAAGAACACGTCCGATTTCGCCATGATGCATTGTCAGGACAGAATACCAGAAGACAATAGGTGAGGACGATAAATCATGAACTGATTACGGCACCCTGACTTTCCCCTAATGACTTAACAGGCCCTACAAGACGAAACCGCGTAAGATATATCGATTTATACAAAGTCATTATCAAAAATAACGTCAACTCTTCACTGCAGTGTCACGTAAATCTAAAAATAAAAGTTTCGTGTGGTATTTTACGTGTACTGTATTTGCAATATGAACATACAATGAGAATAAGCCCAGTAGATTATATGTTTAAGATATTTTTCATTCACAATCCTGACAGATCCTGAAATAATTACTGCCAGAACATACATTTCCTTTATCGAAAGAGATAAATATAACATCAAAGCAGTTTAGTAAGAATCCAAGATACCCACTGTCATCAGCTGTAGTACGTAATGCATTACACATCCAAAAATTTATCTTTTCATCAAATATTAAATTTGTTTCAGGTCGGTTATAACTCAGACCATTGGAAACCTTAAGCATGGACGGAGTTACATTGTTCAGGTAACCGTGACTAAGTCACGAGGAAAGACACTGTCCTACGACTTACTGCAAGCACAGACCAAACCCGTCTGTGCGTAGCGCCACGTCACACGAAGAAAAGTCAAGTCTTCAAAGACGCGTCCAAAGGAATGAGACGAAAGGCGACGGTCACAACGAAATGACTGTACCGATTAAATTAAGTTTGTATTTTTGATACGAAAGTGTGTGGACACGAAACGCCGACACCAGATCAAGAATAATTTCAAATCGATATTAAAATGAATTGTGCAATATGTTTCATGCTTGTAAGATAGCGGAACTACAAATGTTGAATAACACTGTAATACGAAGAGAGAGTTGAAATTCCCAGCCAGTGGGACAAGGCCTGTGTAATTACCACCGAAAGCGTGGTTTAAAATTCCTGACTTGCCTTTTTTGAAGTACGAACTGTAAACCAGAACACCAACGTAGACCACGAAAAGTAGATTTAAGGACAAAGTTCTGTCCCCGGGAGAATCTTTCCTCACTACCCAGCCCAGAATACCCAGTCTCTATCTAAAACCAAGGGAAATTCATGATCTAACAGGTCACATAAGAGCAAATGTAACTTCCACGTTGTCCTTACTTAACAGATAAGTGTTGTTCTGATTGCTCGATTAGTGTCAACTTACTGAAAGAAAATACGTTAAGCTAAAGTTATGTTTATTGCTTTAATAAATGAATTGAATTTTTTCACAATGTTGCTATATTGTAAGGTCAGTCTTGGTTAGTCAGTAGAAACTTCCGGGATATTAAAAGTAATTATTTTTTAAATTATGATACGTAAACAAAGAATTCTATTTTAAGTTAAGGTATAAAAATGTATGGTGTAATTACAAATAAGTTACAGACGGGTGTTTTAATGATTGGCACTTTATTTTTAATTGTCAAAATGGAAGTATACTGACTCGTATAAATACAAGATTAAATTACTTCCTTCTAAATTTTAAAACTGATGGTAGCACATCTCTGGTCTTCATTAGCATTATACAAGTTATGTTCACTTAATCAATGTTACATATTTTCATAATCTCTTTCAAGAACATGGCTATAAATTTGAATGTTCGTTCAGAATATTGTAATGACGTAATATCTGAACTGGTATAAAAGAATTGCAACAAACATGGCATTAAAGGGTTAAACATTATTAAATTAATTTGTAAAGTGATGAAGGTTCAGACTGCTAAAATATATTCTACGAATATATTAATCTTTTTAGACACTATGAACGAGATATCTCGGTCATAATACCTACTTTAAGCATATTCGACGCTTGACATCTGTTCAAATCGTCTGTTTCTGACATTTTTGACCAAATGCGGTTTCTCAACAGTGGAAATCATTTCGGTTGAAGCCAAGATGCACAATGACAAACAAGATTATGTTAATACTGTGTTTGATTTTTTTTAAATATGATAAGAACCAGGGCATTACTGATAAGAAATTATGAGGAAACAATTTTCCGACTGTAATATATTTTCCTCCCTAGTAATGAGTTCAGTTTGGTCTGCCATTTGGTTACCAGTACAATTTTATTGTTACGTAATACTACAGTGTTTGATGTTGCTATGCCAACACTAGAACAACTGAAAGTATAAATAATATGAGGCTCTTAAAGTTACAAGTATTTTAAGTTGAAAATGTAATGTAATAATGCATATAATACAGAATACATTTTGATTAAACTGAATATATTTCTTAGAAGAAGGTTCAGTGTTTTATTCCAACAGAAATCTCTTATGACAGACATTTTCCTGTATGCCATTCCTGGACTTGAACCCGGACCACCCATCTCATGCCGCCATCTTTTCCTTCTCTTTTTATCAATAATAATATTAGTATTAGCTTAGTCTTTTATGTATATAATTAAAATTTATGTGTGTATGCATGTATGTTCGCTTACAGCTCGAGAAGGGACAAACGAATCTTATCCAAACTTGGCAACTTATACCCTAAAAATGGGAGATTATAGAATGGTAACAATACCGCACAAGAGCCCTGGGTTTGAGTCCCGGTGAGGGCTGTTTCTGTAGCTCGGAAGAACGGCGCCGAAAACTCTCATTTGCTTTCACAAAGAGATTACAGGTACAAGAACATAACTCCGAAACTGCTTTGAGTTTGAGTCCCGGTGAAAGTGCTTTCTCTAACTTATAAAATAACGTCAGAACAAAGATTTACCTAAGAGCAAATAATGTTTCGGCGATATGACCGAAAAAAGGCCACAAACCCGAAAATTGTCCTGGAAAAGAAGTTTTCTGTACCTTCGAAGGTAATAATGGTAGATTATTCCTCACAAATATGAAATCGTTAACGCTGTTTAAGGAAATAATCAGTGTTTAATCTGTGAATCATAAGAACCTCACAAGCACAAACTGATGAGTTACTAATTCTTAAATCGGATGGTACATATAGTTACCACTGCTCTTTAAAGGGCACATGTACGGTCCATTCTTAACTTTGCGTGTTGTTGAGTTATTTGTGAGGTACCTAAGCAAACGTCACATGCACAGGTGTAATATCCCAACATCCTATTGCACCACGATAAACTGTATTTCCCTAATGACTTTCCTGTAAGCATCACAATTACTGAAACAGGTGCAAACAATAGTTTTATTCTTTACCTGGTAAAGTACGCTACGGTGAATCCCCTCTCCGCCGTTGGTAGTCAGTACCCGGAAGTCATGTGACTAAGCGGAAGTATATAAGACACGGCAAAATGTGGAGGAAGTCAGATTTGGTTATCGAAGTTTAAGTGAGCGACGTCGAGAAACATCCGACACAGCACCATGGCAATCGTGAGAGCATGTATCCTTCTTGTCTTTATTGGTACGTATTGTAATATTTACCACTGCACGTCCATGAGACGAAGTTTTGAAAATTAGTACACGTTCAGGTATCATAAACGTTGTAGGATAAAACAACACAGAAATATATAACTAACACCTAGCAAAAGTAAGACAGTTAAAATTTCGGGATAATTCTTTCTTTGTTTTCATGTATTCTTCGCACTCGAAATGTAGATCAGATACAAGACAGAAGGGATAAAAGTTGAAAGAAAACTAATTAAGCGACGAATCGGACAGAACAATGTCAAACAATAACCGTCTTTCATGATAAATTCTGTTTAATTTAAACAAATGACGTGGTATCTTCCTAGAAAGACTAGATACGACCATGGAAATCTCAGTCCGAATTTCCAGTCTTCGGAATTACATTTAAATCCTATAGCTCTTGAATTTGAGGCACTGAACATAAAATATACCTATTTAAAATGTTAAACACTCTTCGGTTACGCAGTTATTTAGTTTGCAATACATTAATATATTTAACGCTACGAATTTCTTTATGAGATCTTCGACTTCATTATGAAGGAACCAGTTAATTTATAAAATAATATATTTATTTTCCAAATTGAGCAAGACGCCTATTATATATTTGTTATACCATGATAAGACGTTAGTATAATTTGTTAAATATACACATCAACTACAGAAAATTCTTATGTTTCTGCTGAAAGTATACGACAGTGTCACTGATAGCCTTTTGGGATGATCGCCTTGACGATGGATACAATAAGTACCTCTGAAACGTCGGCATCTCTATGAGACTATACGGCGCAATATCTCAGAAGCTGTCATCGTCGCCGTGAGAACCTGATATCTCCACAATGTTATACAACATTTAAATTGTGTTTAAACCACCAAAAATATCTTAGAACGACTGATGTATAAATTCGACGTATGTATATTCGTGGCAATGGGCTTCTGGGACACGCTGTATACACATTTCCCAGCTAGGATATAATACTCTTATGTGTGTTTCAGGAATGGCAGTGATGCCAACTGCTCTGGGAGACAGATGTGACGCTTGTCCTCAGTGCATAATCTTCAGCCCGATCTGCGCTACGTATTATACGAAGTTTGCTACAAATAATAGAAGGGGATTCCTCAGCGAATGTCACATGCATTGCTACAACAAGTGTCACGGAACAAGTATGTTAATGACTTTAGCCTGAATATCTGATGAGATGATACTTAGTCATAGACAGGAAGTTGACCCCTTGAAGCCGAAGGAGAGGGAGAGAGAGAGAAGATAAATTTGGTGGGGGGGAGCAGCGACAGACACTACTGATTTAACCGGAAACGGGACATAAGTTTTGATTTTCGGCTACTAATGTCCCCAGGCAGTACCCGCTCGTCTTTTTGGTAGAACTAGGTTTAGTAATGTTAATTTATTTTGAAGTGAAAATCGTGAAATTAGAGGTGTGAATCAAACACATAGAAAGAGTCTTTGGGGAAAATATTCATGTGAATGTCTTTCCTACCCAACAGCTTATGTGAATGTGATGGCAGAAATAAATATATTTGCCCTTGCCGGAAATCAAATCCCGATCATCCAGTTCGAAGCCAGTAACTTTACTGACTCCGCTACACCGTCTCGTATTTTGAATAAATATATTTATAAGTAATGTCACATATTATCAACATGTAACATACATGCTGATTTGTTTTCAGAGTATTTCAAACTCTACAGTGGATCGAAATGCATTTAAGAAATGCAGATGTGACCACAGGTCCGGAAGAAGTGGTTTACCGAAACGTCCCGTTTACGACGAGACCGCTAAGACTGGAAGTGGCCTCTTCCTACCTCTTACGCAGTCTATACACAGAAGGATGCATGATGCGTTTTGTATTAAGTTTTAAATATACAATCTATTTCCACTTTACGTTATAACAAAATCCATCTCCATTTCTCTTCCTTACTCTGTGTCAATGCATATACCAGAGAAAATAGGTATGAGTCCAAAATCTGAACCTAATCGCCCTGACGATGGAAACATTAAGTATCTCTGAAACGTCGGTCAATTTCTACGAGACTATGTACAGTGCGACATCCCAGAAGACAGTCATGTTCATACTAGCAGCCGTGAGAACCTGAAATCTCACATTAAATATATATGTCGCGCCATTCTGTGTTAAATTCTACATAAAAATAACTGAATAAATTCTAACCAACTTACGAAACCCTATTATGTTCGCACGACCGCCATGTTTATGTTAATGATGACAGTACATTAAAAAAGAATCACTGACGTGACCTCTAATCCGCCAACTGACTCAACAGTTATTAAGCAGCTGGCCTGATAAAACCATAAACTTTACTCGGGATGTGAGCTTTGAGATCTACATGAGAACAAGAGACAATCAGCTGATGTTACGCGTCATTCGGCGATACTAAGAAAGATGCCATAGACAGCGCACATACCTGCTGCCATAACAATTAACTTCCTGTTTACGAGATGTGACAGCTGATTATGACAAGTCGTTCACCCCTAAAAGTAGAGCAGCTGTTGAGTGCGTGCGTGCTTCTAAGAAACAGCAACTTCAGCAGTAAACAGGGCAAGTCATTTTTATTAATTTCGTCATGACGAATTGTTTCGCAAGTGTGATTCAACTACCGTTCCCACGAGACAGACACCTGGTGTCAAGGTATCATAAACCACAAACCTACAACGGAGAAGACACGAAAGCAGATATCGATGATTCGAGCATAAAATCACCATGGCGATATTGAAAGACTATCTTTTGATTGTTACTGTTTGTAAATTCTGTTCGCAATGCCTCGACTTTCAAAGTTTGCTGAAGTATGATTTTTTAAGAGTCTTTTATGAGAAAACGCACTTTGGAAATCGCCCTTCAGTTACGTAATAGATTCAAAAATACATGGCCGGTTTTTCAAATCTAAAACTTCTTGACGATGGTGAAGAGTCAATTGAACAAAAATTTTCTTGGATATTATCCATCGTCTAGTAAATATAAAACGTAAAACGACGTTTCGGAGATGGGACTCTATCTCCGTCTTCAGGTTCCTACACAGTTGGGCCCACTAGATAGAGCTAATCCCTATCTCCGGTTTTGATCAAATTCGGCGTGGTGAACCTACAATGAAGTTTTCTTTACATTCTGATTTTAAGTTGATCATTTTAAGGCTAAATTTTCTTATGGGAATAAATTAACTTTTTCGACATCTTCCTATACTTACAGCATCAGATTCTTTATAGAATCATTTCTATAAGAAGGAATATGACCATTATATAATGAAATATAAGCATTCTTTTCTGATATCAGGGTGTAAGTACAGATGTGCGGGTATAAATATCAGCACGCTGAAAAGATTAATTTTGTCATTAAAAAGTAAGTGTTCTGTTCCATGCAACACTCAAAAGCTTATGAAGCTCAAAATGCAACCACGTGTAATGTTGATTCTCACGATGACGTCAGTTTATTCCCGTCACTATAGCAACCATCTTGATATAAGCTTATCGTACTTGTTAAACGAGAATTTTAATTGGCAATTACTGGCCCTAAACGCCAGTAACCGGCTCAATAAGAACACAGTATCAACACCAGCCTCGTGTAATGTAAATTTCTTTGCAACAGATGGCTGTCGTTACTGTTATTAAATCACCATTTTACCGGAACTGAACCAACTGGCTAGCTTGTTTGCTGGAGTGTTGTGACGTCATTACAGATCAAACACGATATAAATCATAGTCAGTAGCGCATCTGTGGCTTAATTTTTGGTGCAGAGGCATTGTTCTTGAAGAAATTATTGATAACAAGCTCTGGGAAGAACTTATATCTAATTCCCTTTAAAATATCTAAATAGAATACTGTATAATAAAATAGGCATAAACTGTGAAATACAGCGATAAATTTTTGTTCACAATTTCCAATATTTATTATTGCAGACACCTTCAATTTTACATACATGAACTCCAAATGTCCACTGGCGTGTTAATGATCTGTTCGCATTCAAAATTACATATAAGTCGGCTCTGTTACTTCAACACAACTAAAGGTGAACACAGACGTCACGCGGCGAGAAACATTTGTTGTTCTACAATCCATAGAAACTTCCTAACAAAAGCTGCATATATTTTTATACTCAGTTTCTGGGTCCTGCTTTCAGCGGCGCTAGTGCCAGTCCCACCTCAGACATTCGCACTGTCCTACTGATAATACTATACATGCAGGCGACAAGCATAAATGACATAATATTTCTACTAAATTTCACAAAAGAATCAACTTCAAGAAGACACGTAGTCATTACCATACAATTAGCGTAAATAAAAATACTACAATACAATACTATAAAATACAATAGGTCTGGAAGAGGAAAACTTTCTGATATTTGATGGACATCTGACGAAGGATTGCACTTAGGATATTACATTTGAGTTTATATGGATTATACACCTGAAGATGGTTCATTTAGAACTGAAACATGTAGTGTAAAAGATGATGCTCTAATGTAAAATCGAACATTTCGATAGAGAGCATCATTTTAATATATTTTAAATATTTAAATGTTAATTGTAATATTTTAATATTTAATAATAATATTTTATTGTGATTAGACTGATAAAATTGAACAAGTATATATTCAACACAATATGACGCAACATTATCATCTCATAAATAAGATGTTAGTTTATAGGTTATGTTAACATCTTTCTGTAATTAATAATTCGTAAATCTGTGCTAACAATTTCACTAATTTATTTTTTAATATAAACTTGTACTGCGTTACATAGACAGACAACAGAACTTTATAGTGATATTCTACATTAGGTAGTAGCTTACCATATTCCGTAATGGACGAAAGTTGTGTAATTAAAATAGAATGTTTTAAACAAAGATTTAAATTTTATTTCAAATCTCAGGCTTTTAGCTTAGATTTTACACGTTTTGTGGCTTTGTATCATTTTAAAAATTTAAATGTTTCACAATTAATTATCACATTCTGTCGCAAATAAATGACGATCCAATTTGGTTAGCATCTAAACGTCAGAATAAATCGATATCGATATTATTATCGCTATGTTATTTGTAAGGAATGTAATTCCGATTGGTAGTGATTGTATGGTTGAAACAAGAGAATCGACGCGAAATCGATAAAATGAGGCAGATCACATGTCTGTCACGCAAAGTAAATTATTTGAAATGGAGGCTACTTGCCTGTGGTCGCGTGCTTGGCTGCATGAAGGAGTAATACAGGGAACAATTATTTAATTAAGCATTCAGTTAATTCTGGTGCGTTGCGTGTAATAGTTCACCCAACAAAACCCCGTACTCAATCTACCCATTTGTCACGTTTCAAGATGTTTATCTCGCTTACACAGAGCACAGCAATGAATCGATTGGCATCAGTGGACTGTAACCAGAAATGACGAAGCAATTTCAACACCGTATCGGACACACAATGCGTTAGCCATGTGCGTACGATATTAGGTGCATGTACCAGACAGAACGAGCCACGGTGGTCTAGCGGTTAGAACGCTGGCCTTGTAATCCTGGGGGTCTCGGGTTCGATTCCCGGCGGTGCCCGAATTTATAACTTGTGTTGGGCAAGGCCGTGGTCTAGGCAACACGGAGTTTTCCTCCGTGGCATCCCAACAATTACTCCATGCACACACAGAAGAAGGCAATGGCAAAAC